TATATATATATATAATATCACTTCTTGCCTTTCTTTTTCAGATTGTCTGTCTTCCTCCATCCCCACCTGTTCTTATTTGGATCTTTCACCATTTGTTAATACCTATAGGTCCCATATTATTTCACATTAAGACGCGTTAACTTGAGTCTCAACGAATCCCCATAATGTATATTTTAAGTTTTAGAGAAAAATACCACACAGGTATTTTTTTGTACGATGGCTGTGAGTCTACATTTTGGTTCTAAGTTCTATTAAATTACAACAAGATATTCCCATGATAATATCAAACAAAACCACTGTGTTGTCATGGTAGACATAGACTAATGCATCGATATTGTAGCATTTTTTAAAAATGTTTTCATCTCTTTAATGCCATCCACAATCACTTGACAAGTGGACAACCTCCCGTGCTCTTATTTTGAAAGTTTACTCTGTTGCGGCAGTCTCAACCCACGGTGAGACAAACTACATTTCTACCATTTTTGGACTGCAGTCCTAGTTCTGCTCTGAAGATCTGCTGTGAGCTGGAGGGTCCCCCTAACCTGCAGCAGGTGGAGAACTAGTCCTTGTGCTCAAGCACTGGGTCAGTTATTCTCTCAAGGCAAGGTATATGCTTCCGTATGGCACACATAAGCACATACATAACTGTGAGAAACACTGAACCAGGACCCCATTTGTGTCACATTCTCACCTGGGAATGGCTGTGAGATGATCTGGTTTTTCACAACAATGTGAGGGATCTGGGATTTGATCTGAACTGCCTCCCTGGACAGCTGGGCGAAGATCTCCTTACAGAGCAAAACATTCTGAGCCGCCTCCAGTTTCACGTGCCATTGCTGCGTACCTGAGCAGAGACAAAAGAAAAGACCAAGAGTTTTGTTTGTGGGATTTACTCTTACAATTTAGAGTGGGCTCAGTCATCCTTTGCCAAAGCCTAAAGAGCGCTTTCTCACACAGAATGTAATAATTTATTATTTTCATAAAATGCCCTTCTAGAAAAAAAAAATGTGGAAGAAAAGAGCCTCTGTGTTACTGAACAACTTTTAATGTGTATATGTGCTGAACCATACCAGCTTTGTTCTTTTGCTGTTGTCTGAAAAGGCTGACGGTTCCCAGATCACCAATGTCAGGAGCTTGTTTCTGAATGGACACCTGAAGATACAAACAGTATCTTTCTATTACACCTAATATATCTGGTAATTATCTAAAATCAAAGAATGAACAAGGAATGAGAAAAGATGAATAAAAACATATTATACATGTCATTTCCCTCTGACCTTAATGTAAGCAGACCCCTCCAGGTCACTGGGGATCTGGACGTCCAGTGGGCAGTAATCCTCTGGGATTTTTTTGTCCAGATCAATGTCAGTATTTTTGATCACTTCAAATGTGCCATGATGGGGGAAAAGGGAGCCTGCACGGGCAAACACAGAAGTTAGAAAACAGGTTTAAAGTGTCTTAATGTTAATCTGTAGGACGCAGCAGCACTGACTGAGTGAGGTGTTTTCCTCTCTTATCACCTGCACTGCGGTAGCTGAGGTCTCCCAGGATCTTGTCTCCAACTTTGCGTAGTTTCCACTGTGAGCGCAGCCGCAGCAGCTCAGAGTTGAAATCCCGTTGCCTCCTGTTTTCCTGGTTCTCTGCGACTGACTTACTGAGCTTCTCTGCTCCCTTTTGAAGGATCATAGCTGCTGTGGCCAACGATTTCTTTTTACTGATCAGCTGGAAAACTTGTGGTGTCTGCAGGAGTTGGAGAAGGAGCAAAAGATCTCTTTGTGGACAAACCTGAGAGTGCTTTGCTGACATTTGGAGATTTTTTTGTAGAACCCTTAAAAAAAAAATCAGTGTAAGTGACATGTTTAATTTACCTTTCCAGCTGCTGGATCCTGAGACACGGGGTCTAAAGCCATGTACTTCTTCTCCTTCACCACGCTGAGCACATCATACAGTACACACATCTCTGTGAGGGCGCTGCGGAGGTTGTTACGCACCGAATCCCAGGGCCAAAGAGACGGCTGAAATTTTACTGTGCCTATGCAAGAAAACAGAAAATTGGGCTCGATTCCAACAAGTGATAAAAAACCTTATGTTCTGTTTTCAATTCATTTGTGCACTCTACTTGGTGGTCCTCCTTTCTTCATCAGAGTCCGGAGTAAATTGTAAATAAAGTTTAACTTTATTTAGCTGGATGTCATTACTCCTGAAATCCATTTTATTTATTTATTGGAGCAGCGGGTGTACTCTTAGGATTGACATAATTCATAATTCCATCAGTTTTCACAAGGCCTCCAACACCTTGCAGCCTCAAAACATGACAGGCTCCATTGTGATTTAAATGGTAAATAGATTGTTTCTTATACAGCACTTTTCTACTCTGAGCCCTCAAAGCACTTTACGCAACTTGCCTCATTCACCCATTCCCACAAGCACCTTTTTTCTATTCTCTTTATATGTAACATTCACATGCTTTCATACTCTGATCAACTTCTAGTATCTTGTCCAAGGATATTTGGCATGAAAATTATATATTTATTGGTAATTATTCACCATCTAAGTGAAGTTCTGAACTGAAATGTTTAACCTATGATAAATGAAGTTCAGCTTGATATTTTATGTTGGCCTAAGGCACACAGCAGCTGATTATACCAAGGAATGTGTGATGGCTCGTGTAGCTCTAGCTCCTTGCTTTATTTAAGCATTTTACCTTCTTCCTCCTCTCCATCCTGCTTGCCCCATTCTCGGTCCTTGGGTTCTCCCTCAACATCCTCCTCTGAGTCGGATCCCTGGCTGAAGTCAATTCTTTGTGCCAACTTTGCCAAGTTCTGGGACATGGATAGAGGAGGGACATAGGTCTCGGTCCCATCCAGGGCCACTTCCTGCACCTGCTTCTCACAGGAAGACTCGATGCTGATCCTCACCGCTGGACCACCAGACATGATGACAGACTTGGCTGAGAACTGGAGTGGACAGGCAGAAAGGGTTAGTCATCAAACACAGATACAGGGGAGACCAGAAAACCTCTGAATCAAACATTTAATATAGGTTGTTTAATAACCAGAACACTAAAATACTTCACTTCCAAATGTTAAAGTAAAAAACGAGAATTAGAAAATACTCCTCAACAACTTTGGATGATAATAATTCAGCTCTTTTAGTCACTTTGTAACGTTTTACTAGTTAGCAACACTAGCTAGTGTTAGCTCTTTGCTTAGCTCACAGCATAAAAGGAGACTCGAAAGCTCAAGAGAACAGCTTAAAACACCAAATACTATTTTACTCCTGTAAATCTTACCTCTGGCGTTCACTAGTGTTGGAGGTATCGAGGAATACTCGGGTATTGCATTAAATGTTCCAGGAGCGGTGAAAGACTCATCAATACAGGAACGAGTGTAACTCCTGCACGGTCCCCCTCCCACCGCGATTGTGATGAACTCTGAGGCTGGAAGCTGTTTCAAACGCTTTGTGTCACTTTAGCACTATTTACGTATTTAATGTTTGTATATATATATTATTGATGTATTTTTTTAATGTATTTTATGTTTAAATGCATAAAATGTTTTTTATGCAGATATAATGACTAGGAACTAATATTTCATGTGGACGGCAAAGACACGGCGGGCAGTTTAAACTACCGGATGTGACGTTTAGGACAAAGAAAAAAACAAAAACGTCCGTTTTTTGGGTTGGCATGGATTTCGGATAATAAACAGCACTTTAAGCGTCCTGCCTGGTAATTGCTTGTATAGTAAACACTTGTTTCAAGTTTAAGTTGTCCTACGGAACCTTTATGCCGGCGAACAAAGTGAAGCGTGCAAACATTAGCCGTCGCCGCTAGCTGAACCGCAACCTGCTGTTTGCTTTTTTGGGGGCAATGTCCGCCAGTGAAGTGCTCGAAAATGAAGAGAAAAGTGTCCAGATTAAGACCGAGTCCCAACGAAGAGGCTCGGATAATACGAGAGGAGCAGGAAAGGAGGAGAAAACTGCGGATACAGCAGGTAATAAGGCGGTGTTATGGCTTTCTGCTTCACTTTAGGTCCCTGATTTCCAGCACCTGTGGGATGTTTTCCGATGAAGCGCCAGTGCTTACTTGAACCCCTGTTTCTGTCTGATAAACACTATATTAAGACTCACATGAGTTCATAACTTCAGCCTACATTAAATTTTACTTGCATGTGTAAAAGATCTGTCTTTTTGTGTGCGTACAGTCATTTTTTTGAAGTCTGATCGGTCTGTTCTGTCTCCGAAAGTTGCTTTGACACATGAATAAACAAAGGCAGACAGTTTCAGGGTATTCACGTAGTATTTCTTTTAGCATGATGAAGCTGTAAAGTCTCGTATGTAACTAACCAGTGAAGGACCTAAAGTTCACAAAGTATTTTGCTGTGAAGTCTGCTGACACATATTTATTTATTTATTTTTTTCCAAATAAGATTAGATTTGCTGGTATTACTGGCCAAGATTTATCTTTTGTATTGCATCCATTTTTTTTGTTGACAGATGACGTAATGAAGATAATTAAGTTGGTCATCACTGTAACCTACTGTTACTATGCCATGTGCATAGTTCTGCGTGATATATGCACACTAGGGCTGAACGATTATGGAAAATAATCTAATTGCGATTTTTTGCCCCAATATTGCGATTGCGATGCGATATGCGATTATTTTTTAAGGTCTTTGTCTTCTGTATTATTAAACAAAGACAAGCAATACATCATATAGTATGGCCAATACTATATTACATTAATTTTAAACTGTTCTTTCCTGGAAGACAGACCTCTGTTATGATGACATGAGGTGATGCATGAATTGATGACTGACATTTTTATTTAACTTCTTCAATCACAACAGTATATTTGAACTAGAGATGGACCGATCCGATATTAAGTATCGGTATCGGTCCGATACTGACCTAAATTACTGGATCGGATATCGGAGAAAAATAAAAAATGTAATCCGATCCATTAAATATCACGAAAGCACCTCACATACGCCGTAACTCACCTCAGAACGTTAGCACGTCGGAGCAGTATGCATCACGTGATAGAGTGGCTGTGGCATGCGGGACCTGTCGGTGGTCTGGATAGCATTTGGAGCTTCGCTAGCAACCTGGCATTTCATCTCCGACAAAGTTATCCCCGAGAGAAGTAAAGCAAGTGTGTAAGTCCATCTCTGAATCTTTGTAAAGCATTCCTGCGTTAAGCTTAACGAACGACTGCCTCTCGCTCTCCGGCTGCTACTTCAATCGTGAAACTGCTAATGATCAGCTGATCGGCTTTTCTGTCGCGAGTCTCTCTTGTTTGTTTTTGGTCCACTTTGCGCCAGAAAGAGGAAACCAGCGGCTGAACAACAGCAGCACGTTTAAGCTTGATAAGCTGTTGTTAGAATTTATTTAATATTACTTTCTACACCAGGATCGTTTTCTACGTAGCTGACAGCTGGTAACTGTGCAGGGGCGGATCTAGCAAAGTTTAGCCAGGGGGGCCGATAGGGCATGAACAGGGAAAAGGGGGCACAAAGACATACTTTTCTTTCTTATTCTCATTTAAAATGTCTAGCTTTTAATAAATAATTATCTGACACCCAAAGTTTTAATTTGATGTAAAATGAATAGAAGTCAATTACTGTATATAGTGACTATTAAGTCTAATATATATACCCTAGTAAGCTATAGTACTTTTTCCTTTGGGAAGGTACCATCTGTGCAGTCTGCAATTTTGTTGAAGAAAGATGTTGAATCTATTTAATATTTCTTGAAAAATAATTGATTTCTGTGCATTTTTTTTCACACTGCATCAAATTAATGTTGATTACATCGATTAAGCATCATGAGGTGGCGCGTGAGGGGTGGTTCCCTATTTTTTATTTATTTATTTTTGTTGTTGCTGGGAGTTGGAACCCTATTAGTTAGGTTGCTTAATATTTACGCTAAGTACTCTTTAAAATACCAGAATAGGGAGGATGGTGTAGGTCTAAGTTTATTAGATTGATCAGTATTGCTGAACTATGAAATATTTTTTTTGTATACAGGTATAACAGAATAGCTTTAGTGTAGTTGTTGTTTTAAACTTGAGTATGAACTTGCAGACTTGCAAAATGCAGCAAGATATTTTAAAAAACAGTTTTGTTGATTAAAAAACACTATATCGGATTCATATCGGTATCGGCAGATATCCAAATTTATGATATCGGTATCGGTATCGGACATAAAAAAGTGGTATCGTGCCATCTCATATTTGAACATACACAATAGTTTATTTTTAGCTTACAAACATCTGAGCATAAAGTGCTGACAAGGAACCCTGGTGTAAACATTAAAATGAAAGTCAGTACAATGTGCAGATTGCAGAAATATACATAAAAAAAATCAGTGGCTTTACCACACTCAGTTTTTCGACATCTGTGAACTACTAGACAGTCATTCAATTAAAAAAATAATATTAAATAAATAAAACTAATAAATAAAAAATACACACATCTTACTGATCTCTGCAGTCAGTAACATTACACATAAAGTGCAAACATAATAGCAATTGTATAAACACACACACAAACACGCCTTTAAAACTTAAAGGCGTGAAATTGGACGGTCTAGCCTTCTGACTAGTTCTGATTAGCGTCCCC